AAAAAAAAAAAAAAGAAAGAAAGAAAAGAAAAATGCAAACTAATCTGTAGTAACAGAAAGCAACTCAGTGGAGCAGGGAAGGGAAAGACGGAGTGTCCTGATTGTGGTGATGATTTCACAGGTGTGCATGTGTAAAAAATGATCAAATGATACACGCAAAACACAATTTACATGACAATTATACCTTAATAAAACTTTTTTTTTTTTTTTTAACTAAAAGCTCTTTGATTGTCCTAAAAAGTTCAAACTAAAAAGTTCCTATTCTCCCCCCAAGATAAACTGCAGACTTGTTAGTATAGCGGCCTTTTCTAATCTGGTCCTAATGTACCCTTTTGTGTTCGCCTCCTCTGCTACTCCCCAAAATATGCCCCCACCCCCAGCCCATCTAGGATTCAAGCTCCCCGGGTCCTTCCCATTCTTTGGTCAGGTTCAGGCTTGCCCTTGACCTTGTGCCTTCCCATATAGACTCTTCCCTATGGGGCATTCTACCCTGTCCTGCAAGGCTCAGGTCAAACACCAGCCTCCCCAGATCCTTTGCCGGTCTCTGCATTTGCAAGGAGACAATCTCTCCTTCCTTACTCTGAGGGCCATCAGGTAGTGAGTAAGACTAACTTGGTGCCTACCACACACATCTGGGGTTGACGTGTTTATGTTTTAGCTTTGCAGCTAGCTTTACAGTCTTCGACACGATACAGCACCGAACCAAGCTCCCCATCTTGGCTGGCTTTCACACACATGTTGAGGCCAGGTACAGTGGCTCATTCCTTTAATCTCAGCACTTTGGGAGGTCAAGTCACTGGATCACTTGAGGTCAGGAGTTTGAGACCAGCCTGGCCAACATAGAGAAACCCCATCTCTACTAAAAATACAAAAATTAGCTGGGCATGGTGGTTCACACCTATAGTCCCGGCTACTAGGGAGACTGAGGCAGGAGGATTGCTTGAACCCGGGAGGTGGAGGTTGCAGTAAGTTGAGCAAGATCCTGTCTCAAAAAAAAAAAAAAACTAATTGCAAGATCAAAAAACAAAAAAAAAAAAAAAAAAGTGTTCAAAAAAAAATAATTGTGATGAACGTCTTCTCCGGCATCCTTGAACTTTTTCTGATCTTCATTGCAAATCTTAGTGCAATGTTTTGCTCAGAAACGAAATGCCATCTCATTTGTAAGCGCTTTTTGGATACTGATGTGAAACAGAAACCGCAAAGGAGACAGATCAAGACTCAGCCACAGGCAGACCTACCTCCCACTTGGGGTAATCGTGGGGCTTCAGGGAGCCCCTATGGGTGCCTGGGAGCACAACCAGACAGCCGTTGTTCCGGTCGATGGGCTCCATCGCCGTCCAGGCGCAAACGATGAGATTGCTGGGCCTGAAGGGGAAATAGTGCAGGTCCTGGTGCAGGGGATGGCGGGACGTCTTCTTGCCTGAAAGAAAACCTGCTATTAGCCGGGCGCGGTGGCTCAAGCCTGTAATCCCAGCACTTTGGGAGGCCGAGGCGGGTGGATCACGAGGTCAAGAGATCGAGACCATCCTGGTCAACATGGTGAAACCCCGTCTC